GTGGTGCTGGGGGATTGAACCGCGGTCCCTGATGCTTTGCTAAGCTTGTTCTAAGTAGGTGCTTTAGACCACTGAGCCATCTCTCCAGCCCTATACTTACATTTTAATAAAAATGATTTTCAGTTAAGTTTTGTATGCTATAGGGGTCTCACTTCATCCTTTTTATTTATACCTATCAGGTTGTCCCAGCACCATTTAATGAAGACTATTAATACTCTCATTGAGGTTTTTGGTCTCCTTGTGGAAAATCAATTGGCCATGAGTGGATAGGCTTCCTTCTAGGAACAAAATTCTGTTCTACTGAATTCTATGTCTGTCTGCACGCCAGTACCACATTGCCTAGATTTTTTTTTTCAGTGTCTTGATTAACGTGACTTTATTTTTATTTATTTATTGTTTTTGGTGGAACCGGGGATTGAACTCAGATCCTTGCATTTGCCAGTCAAGCACTTATCCTATTGAGCCATCTCCCTGGCCCACGTGGCTTTATAATAAGTTTTATAACTAGAAAGTGTGAGTACTCTGAATTTGTTTTCAAAAAATTGAGTTCATTGGAATGTTTTAGACATACACAATGATTTTTTTTCCCATTCCCCTCCCCTCCCTCCAACCTTTCTTTCCCTCCTGATGACTATTTGGGATTCTGTGTACTTCCACATGAATTTTAGGATCAATTTTTTTTTTTTTTTTTTTTTTTTTGCAGAACAGGGGATTGAACTCAGGCCCTTTCGCTTGCGAGGGAAGTGCTTATTCTACTGAGCCGTCTCCCTGGCCCCTAGGATCAATTTTTCTATTTCTGAAAAGAAAAAGATCCACTAGGATTTAACATTTTGATTTTTTTTTTTTTTCCTGGCTCAAGCTGCCTTAAGGGCGGGTGTGGTAAGGCAGTTGGAGGTGAGGATTGAACCATGGTATCCTGTGCCTGACTGCATTTGCATGAACAGGAACTTAAACAACTGAGCTAATGGATAGGCCCCCAACATTTTGATTTTTGAAGCATGGTGATGGATTGTCTATTCCAATGTTTGTTTTTAAGACAGGATCTTACTACATAACCCAGGCTGACCTCAAACCAAGAATCCTCTTGCCTTAGCCTCCAGAATGCTGGGGTGAGCCACCACGTCCAGCTTTTGTCATTTCGTAGTGCGGGGATCCAAAGGGTTTTGAGTATGGTGATCATGCATTGAGCTATAATCTCAGCTGGCTTCAAACTCACAGTGGTCCTCCTGCCTCAGCCTTCTGAGTGGTAGCTGTAAGTTATTGATTGATTGATTTTTGCTAATTAAGTTTTGAAAAATCAGGAATTTACATAGTTTTCCTAGAGGTCTTCCAGGAATTATCTTGTGTCCTGGTTCATTTGTACCCTAGAGTTCCTTTGTGCAAAGTACAGAAAAGAGAAAATTGTATCAACCTCACTCCTTCTCCCTTATCCTGGACTTATAGGAAGTTCTTCACCAGGCGTGGTAGCATACTGGGGGACTGAGGCAGAAGGATCGAAAGTTTGAGCCCAAGTCAAGAGTGGTAGCACACACCTATAATCCTAGCACTTGGGAGGCTGAGTCAGGAAGATCGTTGTGAGTTCAAGACCAGCCTGGGTTTCAAAGTGAGCTCAAGCCCAGCCTGAACTG